TTTTCTCTTTCTTTGTATCTCCAGCCCTTAGCACAGTACAGAGGGAGAGATACCTCAGACAAGAATGTATGCTTCTGACTATCAACTGCATATATGTATGTGTGTGTGTATATACATATATATATGCATAAAATGCATATGTATATATTTATAGTGTGCATGTATATATACTCTTACATACATATACACATGTGTATATGCATATGTTTGTGCATATATGTGTGCATATATACATAAGCATGTGAGTGTATATATTATGTGTGTATTATATGTATGTGTCTATATATACATATATAGACACACATACACACACACATATATATATACATATATATATATACATATATACACATATATACATATAAACATATATAGGCAGCTAGGTAGCACAGTAGGCTTCCAATTAGGAAGACTCATCTTTATGAGTTCAAATGTGGCCTTAGGCACTCGCTAGCTGTGTGACCCCTGGGCAAGTCATTTAACCCTGCTTGCCTCCCTTTCCTCATCTATAAAATGGCAAACCACCCCAGTATCTCTGCCAAGAAAACCCCAAATAGGGTGATGGAGAGTTGGACAGTAATGAAAAATGACTTCACAACATATACATATATACATGTTGTTGTTTGGTTGTTAAGTCATGTCCCACTCTATGTGACCCTATGGACTTTGTCCAGGGTTTTTGTTGTTCTTCTTGTTGTTAGTTTTTTGTTTTGTTTTGCAAAGGTACTGAAGTGCTTTGCCATTTCCTTCTCCAGTGTGTCCCCATTTTACAAATGAAGAACTGAGGAAAAGAAGGGTTAAGTGACTTGATCAAGGTCACACATATAGTAAGTGTCCGTGGCCAAATTTGAACTCAGATCTTCCTGACTCCAGGCTCAGTACTCTATCCACTGCACCACCTAGCTGCCCTTTATCTATACATACACATACACATATGTCATATATAGATATGCATACATACATATATATACATATATACACACACACATATACATATATATATATGTATATATATACACATATATATATACATATATATGTATATATATATACATATATATATATGTATATATATATATATATATATACATATATATATATTTCCAATTCAGAAATAATTACCTAAGTGAATGGAAACCATAAAGTGCAATCCTATTACACTTGGGTTCCACCCATACCCCCTGGATTTTCAGAGGGTTTTGTTTCCCAACCCTTGTTAAAAACAATAACATAGTCTTCATCATAGCCAAAATAGTTTGCCGGAGCCGAGGAAAATATCTCATCGTGAAGCTGATAAGAGGTCATAGGTGATGTCACAAATCAAGCAAACTACAGTTAAACAAATAATTCTTAGGGGATTGTTTTGGAGAAAATCCTGGAAATATTCCAAATATATATCAAAACAGAAAAAAAAACACACACACAATTTTATTTTTCCAGGATGTCATAATTGCAAATACAGAGAAGAAAAAAAAAAACAACCTACCAACCTTTTTACTGATGGTCACAGGGCTATAGGAGGACCCCATGTACCCCAGAAGAAAATGCAGATCCTTCCTCATCCAAGCTCAGCTGACAGTGGAGCCCAGAAAGCACTCCAGAAAGAATGAATTTTCCCTTAGCTTTGAAGACAATCAACAGCATTTATTTAGCTCTCACTGACACTGACACTCTACTGCCTGCAGGGAGAGATGGTAACTGCTACTACAATATTAATCAGTCAATAAACATTTAATAAAAGCCTACCATATGTCAGGCACTGTGCACAGCACTGGGGATTTAAAAGAAAAAACACAGGAAAAAGACAATCCCTACCCTCAAGGAGCTTACAGTCAAATGGAGCTTTACACAAGAGTTCTCCTTGAATCCTTTAAAGATGTCTAACTACAAATTGACGTAAACTGCTCTCTGCTTAGCGAAGGGCCAAGCTAGCCATTGTCCCCTGAAACTCAGGATGAATTTTTGATGATATCTAGCAACAGCTTCTAATTTCCAAGGCTACTATCATCGAATCTCAGGAACATAAGGGACCTCAGTGGGAAGCCAACTTCTCCAACTCATACCAAATCAAGAATCCTCTCCACAGTTGAAAACATGTTAACACGAATGTATATGTAGAGCCTATATCGGATTGCACACCACCTTGGGGTGGGAGGAGGGGAGGAAGGGAGAGAAAATTTGGAACTCAAAATCTTATGGAAGTGAATGTTGAAAACTAAAACTAAAATGAATAGATAAATAAATAAATGAATAAAAAGAATCCTCTCCACAGCATCACCCAAAAGTTGAAGACCACTAATGAGGAGGAATTTACTACCTCTCCAAGCTGCTCATTAGATTTTTGGGTAGTTCTAAGTTTTAGAAAGTTTTTCTTTATATCAAGTCTAATCCCTGACTTTCCTACTTCGTTTGCTGCCCAGCTTTGTATCGTCTGCCAATATCATAAATACATCATCTATTCCTTTGTCTAAGCTATCGATAAAAAAAAAATGTTAAATGGCACAAGACTAGGTACAGATTCCTAGGATTTCTCCATTGGAGACCTTTTTCTAAGATCTTATGAAACCATTCATCACCTAGCTATCCCACCCTGGAGGTTTTAATCTGATGTTTATCAGCTATCTTATCACGGGTAAATTATTTCAGCTCTCTGAAACTCAATACTACCCACCAGAACATTTCTTTTCATGATCCTTTTACTCTTTTTACTAAGGTTCTCTTCATGCAACGCTTTTCCTCTTTTAAAAAGCAGTATGTGCACAATTCATGTAGAATTATTTTACACCATTATTTTGACTCTTTGGAAGAGAGGTTGAACTGTCTTCAACTTTGTAAGCCTTATACTGTATTTACATGTGTCTTTCTCTATGGAGACCTCGGATGTTTCTTTGTTTCCTTTCTTTCCAGCTACTCTGTATGCATCTATTTATTTATTTATCCACCTGATCAGAATATAAACTCCTTGAAGACAGCTGTTTTTGCCTTTCTTTGTTTCTCCAACCCTTAGCACAGTACAGAAGGGGGATGCTTCAGACAAGAATCCATCCCCTGGACTGTCAGCTGCCAATTGTCTAAAGGCAGCCCACTCACTAGGGACCAATCAGGAATTTCCAGCGTCATCCCAGCAAGCTCTTGAACGCTTCATTCCATAGGAGGTGCCCACCTTTGTAAGGTCAAAGGGCAAGCTCTGAAATCTCATCAAGTAGGTTGGTGGGTCTCATCAAATTGGGCAAGGTTTCTCTTGATTGCTCCTGCTACAAGAATATTTCTTCATAAAACCATTTGCGGAGCAGCTAAGCGGTGCAGTGGATAGAGTATCAGTCCTAGAGTCAGGAGGACCTCAGTTCAAATACAGCCTCAAACACTTGACACTTACTAACTGTGTGATCCTGGGCAAGTCACTTAACCCCATTACCTAGCCAAAAAAACAACAACAACAACAACAACAAAACATAAAACTGTTTGACTACCCATGTATTTAGCACAATATGAAATCTGGTAGATCTGACCATTGACTAACAGAAGTCTATAAATGGCAGGATGTGCTAGAAGGCCTAAAGCAAGAGTTAGCCATTTTTTTGGGTCATGGACTCATTTGTCAATCTGGTGAACCTATGGACCTTTCTCAGAACATTACTTTGAAATATGTAAAATAAAATATGAACAAATACAAGAAAATCAATTATGCTGAAATACAATTATTGAAATATTAAGAGAGTAAATTCAGGAATCTGAGGTTAAGAAACTTTGGAGGGATTTTAGGAATTAGCAAATCAATATGCTTATCAATAAACAAGAGAGCATTAAGAGGACAAACAAGATGGTATAGAGTCCAGAGGTGGGGAACCTTGGCCTCGAGGCCACATGTGGCCCTCTAGGTCCTCAAGTGTGGCCCTTTGACTGAATCCAAACTTCACAGAACGAATCCCTTGACCATCGAACTCAGGTTGCTGAAGGAACTAAGGAAGTTTAGCACAACCAAGAGAAGGGGAGAGAGGCACAGTACTTGGTAGTCTTATGTAAGTCTCTGAATGATTGTCTCATGGAAGAGGGTGAGAAGTAAGAGTAATGAATAGAAGTTACCGAGAGACACAGGGGTTAGGTTGATGTAGGGTAAAACTTCCTAATAAATAGAGCTTTCCAAAAATGGAATAAGGCCACCTTGTGAGTTGGCGAGTTTTCTCTCATTGTAGATCTTCTGACAAAGGCTAGATGACCACCTGTCAGTGATTCTTTTTTGGTTATGACTTGAACCAGGCTTTGAGTGGGGAGAGATTTAAGGTGGGGAAACCATATATGAGGTTACCAGGAGAGAGGTATTGAAGATCTGAATTAAGGTGTGGGTAATGTGAGTGGTGACAAGGAGTTAAGTGTAGGAAATACTGTAGAGGCAAAATTGACAGGATTTGACAGTTGATTAGATGGGGGGATACAGAAAGAATGAGGGATAACTCCAAGTCTAAAAAGATAGTGATGCAACAGAAAGAGGGAAGTTAGAAAGGGGGGGGGGTTGTTAGCTTTGGGTGGGGGAAAGATAAAAAGATAATTCTGTATTTCCTAGGGCAAAGAGGAATTCTATCAGGTTTCAAAAATTGAAGCTAACTTTACATTCCAAGAGGAAAAAGTATTGTGTGTGGATTAGACAGAACTGGAATGAAAGTACGTAATAAAACTATCTTGTACCCCATTTTTTATCCCATTTAATGGAGTTGCAAATATTTAACATTAATTTTCATTCCCCTGCTGAATTAGGGGTCTGCCTAGTTAACTATCCTTGGCAAAGACATCTTCTAACTTGTAATAGGGGTGTGGAGACTAATAACTCAATCTTAACCCACTTCAGTCCAGCCAGAATGTCTTGAAAAAGTGAGCAACAATGAATCAAATGTTTAGGTGGAGAAAACAGCATTCTATTGTTAATAGGGTTGGACCTCAATTCAAAATTGACTTCTTCCTTATAAAGGCTTAACATTGTCTCGGCCATGCATCTCCTCTTGTAGATGTCACCTAACTACGACACACAACCTTGGAGCTAGTGGAGGAACTAACTACGACACACAAGCTCAGCCCTTCTTACCTCTGGACTTCCAGGAGCAGAAAGCAAGAAGCTTAAGGACAGAGGAGAGATTTCCCACTGCCACGAGGGGTAGAGAAAAGCACCCATCTTCTTCCCAGCTTGCAACAGAGACTGAGGCGCAGAAGCCTGCAGAGGTATTCTGACATAGCTGAGCAGAACTTACAGGACCCGGAAGGTCATATGGTCCATGTTTAGGGACCTGCTCTGGTCCATATTCTGAAACTTCTTACTATACCACCTTGTACTTTTCTGCACCTGTGCCACCTCCAAGGCACATTGGGAAATTTCTGCCCCAAATGGTAGACATCCATCTCCAGTGCTCTAGAGACTCTAGAAGAGAGACAGTAGGTAGGACTCAGGGACAAAAAGGATTCTGACATTCACTTCTATTCTCTAATGCTTCTTGGCAGGTGCCAACCCTCTTTGTTTCTTAAATCCCCTTTCCTCTGGCTCTCTATTTCTGTTTGTTTGAGAGCTAGGAATATTATCAACTTCATTTATCAAGGTAGACTTAAGTGGGCCCAGGATAGTTTGTCTAATTTTATCCTATTTACAGAGATGTTTACGTGTTTTATATCTTTAAGATTACTTTTTATTTTAATTTTATCTTATTTTTGTTGATGCTTTTGGCTTTTATATCATTTCCAAATATATACCTCTCCCTCACCCAGCAAGCCATCTTTAGGTTTATTTTTTTAAATTATATTCTCATAACAATGTAAATGGAAAAATAACAACAACAGAACTATCAAAACAGAATGCTGTGAAATTATAATGACCAAAAAAAGAGATGAAAAGGTACTCCCCCACCTCTTCTTTGCAGAGGTAGGGAAATTATGAATGTAGAACATTTCATACCGTGGGAAATGTTTTTGATGTATTGTTTAGTCTTGCTGAGCCTTGTTCCTTTTTATTCTTTGTTCTAAAAGATGATTCTTAGATGGGGAGAGGGTAGGGACATGCTAGGAAGTTAGGTAATGTCTTGTTAGAAGAAGAGTAAAGTCATACAACTAGTATCTGAGGCAGGATTCAAACTCAGGTCTTCCTGATTCTGAGTCAGGCACTCTACCACTATGCCACCAAGCTGCCAAAATAAATAACTCTTTCAATAAATCTCTCCCTTCTTGTTTCAATCAAAGTTGTCTGTTTCTTCAGTGGGGTAAAATCAGTCAAGCATTCTATTGCCCACTGACTTAAGATCTTGAATTCTTGGCTTGGAAGGGGGATGACAGTTGTACCTCAATACTCATTTTGAGAGGAGCAGCCTTACCACTGTAAAGAGGTGATTTCCCTGCTATATAGCATAGCGGCTCCCTCTCGTTGAGTAAACTGGTCCCACCTGACACAACGTGGCCCCCTCTATAATTCCCATGGGCCCTCTACTTCACCCAAGTCTCCTTACTATGCCCAAGGTAAGCCTGTTTATTCTCTATCTTTACTCCTTTTCCCGGACCTAGCTAAATCCTATGTTCCTTTGAAGCCTAATTCAAGATTCACATCCTTTTTAAAGGCTTCCTGGAGTGATGTTTCCTTCCTTCAATTCCCCTCAACATTTATTGAATTCAATTAATATTTATTGAACACCTGCCATGTCCAAGAAACTGTAAGTATGTTGCTAATGTCTGCAGCACACTGTTACTGTTGGTGTAAGTTTGGAGACACTGTGGTGTGGAAAGGGGAAGATAAAGGGGCAACAGAGCCCTGGAGACTACAAGAGGGCACAAGTGCTAACAATTTCACAAACCTATTCCTTGTATCCCCTGTGCTTAGCATTGCTTGGCACAGAGTGAGCACTTAGTCAGTGCCTTTGGATGACCACCCTCTTCCCCGCATTCCCAACTCCAAGACTTGCTTCACAATCTTTTCTTCTTGGAAGGAGACCAACCCTGTCTGTCTCCCCATGTACAGAAGAAAGGGAATTGTATAATAATATAGAAGGATCCTTCTTTGCTTAAGGCACTGAGTATCTGCTGATCTCCCATCATCCACTATACTGACGGGTTTACTTTTTTTATTTTTGCCAGGTTCTCTCCCACTCTTCCTTCTCCAGGCTTTTCTCTTACAAAACTGAGTAGATCTGACGGTCAATCATTCAATCTGTCTTCCTTTCTTGCTGATGTCTGACCACTTGAAATAGAGTCTTGAATTTTGAAGTTCTCTCCACTAGGGGTTCCTTCCTCAATATATGACCTCTCAGACATGCCTCCTCGGTATGAGGCTGTACCCTAAAAGCAAGCTGATACTTTCATCTAACATATCTGTCTTCCCCTAAAAACTACATTGGGGGGAGGGGAATTGGTGAGCATCTCCTGCACCAGGTGATCTTACTAAGCTACCACTAAAGCAATGAATGGGGCAGCCAGGTAGCTCAGTGGATAGAGTGTCAGGCCTCTTCCTGAGTTCAAACCCGACCTCACACTTACTAACTGTGTGACCTTGGGCAAGTGACTTCACTCTGTTTGCCTCAGTTTCCTCATCTGTCAAATGAGCTGGAGAAGGAAATGGCAAACCACTCTGGTATCCTTGCCAAGAAACCCCCAAATGGGGTCATGAAGAGTTGGAAGGGACTGAGAAAGCAATGAATACCTGCAGCTGTCAACGCTGCTACTACCTGAGGCATTGTTCCACCCCCACCAACCATTTAAGGTGACAAGGGAGTGGGTGCTATCTCCACAGTGTTGCTAATGTAACTATTAAGTTGCCTGGGCCCTCCTCCACAAACAGGCTCACTTTTTCTCCAAGAGAAAGCTGGAGGTGAACTAGCTCTGTGATGCTCATGATTCAGCTACCCCGCACCTAAGTAGATAGAATCAGTGCTCGTAGCTCTCATCATGGCTCATTCTGTACTGATATACACTACAAGTCAATTAGTAAGCGTTTATAAAGAACCTACAATGTGCCAGGCACTGTGCTAAGTGTTGGGTACTGGAGGGTACTCTCATTCAAGCCACAAGTTCCATTCCATACATGCAGCTCCCATACACCATGATAATCACACAAGGGAACTAGCTCCATTGGTGCTGAGGGCTCCCTGCTTCCACAATCCCTCTTCCCTCTAATGCTGAATGTGCATCCAAAAAGCATAATCACTGCATCCACTGTGTCTCTTTCAACACTGTTGTATTCACAGCACCCTGGCCAACATGAATCATTCCAATGCCTCAAATACTTAGCACTCCTTGACATGCTAAATACACCTGCAGTACTGGAATCGCTCACTCACCTCACCCCTGTCCAGTCACTCCTCCAATAGCAAGAGTCAGGGAAGGAATCTTGCCATAAAAGTGGCAACAGCTGCAACTATCTTTCCCTTTTCCCTCAGTATCCCATTCTACTGGCACCTCATTCCATCACCACGGATCATGAGACCCCTATGCTTTCCCATCCACTATGATTCTAAGCCAAGTTTGCTATTGTTGTTCCCCAAAAATCCTCCAAGGAGAATCAACCCAATACACGAAAGGCTTTCTTTTTGGTTTTTGGTTTTGGGGTTTTGGGTTTTTTTAGTATCCTGGGGGTACCAATGTACCACTTGTGTGTACATCCGTTGTCTCTCATTCTCATTACAAGAAATGATACTAAAAAGATAACCACTCACAACAGGCAAGTCATAATTTATTCCAGTCAAATAGTAAGGAATGCTGATTTCATTTATTTAGGACCAACTATCAAGAGAGCGAACCGATAAAATAAAAAATTTAAGGTTGTTATTTTAGTGCGTGCAAATACTTGTAAGTTAAAGAATGTTCTTCATGAGACCAAGCATTCAAAGTGATTAAAATTGAATATACATTTTGCAAAGCTACAAGCATTTGTTCAAAACTGATATAAAACGCTGCCATATAAACACTACTGATTTTCTGTTTTTACTGAATAAACCCCTATAGATTTCTATCCCTTTGTTACTATGTCTAGAATTGCCATTTAAATAGTATATTTGCAACTATTAAAACCAGTTGGCATTTCTTGCCTTTATTACTTTCTAGGACCAACTGTTCTGGGGCAGATAAAGGCAACAGTACTAATATCAAGTGACCTAATTTGCCTGCCTCTGCTGCCAAGATACTGCAGAACTGAAGATGCTGAAGTGCCCCCAGCACATCTGCTCCCCAGCAGCTCAATCATGGTTACATGATTCCCTTCTCCAAAGGGAAATTAAATGTGATGGGCATCACCCAGGGCAAAGTGAAACCAAGAGGCTGTGTTGAGCCTTCTTAGAAGTAACATTCTCAGTTTTGCTATTAACCTCTGGACTTACTAGGCTTACCCCACAATGAATTCAACCAGGCTTGTTTCTATACTAGAAGAATGTGCTCCCACATGTTCCCTCCACACTTTCCATTCACCAGTGAGGAATTCAGAATTGACTGGATGGCTGACTTTGCAAGGCTAGATCACATGAGATGCATAGGGATGAATGAAGTAGAATTCACCTTTAAGTTTGAGTAATATTCAAAGTCCAAAAAGTGTCACTTCATCTACAATTCCCGTCTATGCTCATTCTAATGTGATTGCAAATATTCCACTAACAAAGACGTATTTCCCATTTAAATGTAAAGAACGAAAAATTAAAATACCTTAACACTGTATAATTATAATGACCAAACTTGGCCCTGGAGAAGAGAAGATAAAACAGACCTCCCTTCCTTCTTTGCAGAATTCAAGGTATGGGAGCACATTCTCCTAGTACAACAAGCCTGGTTAGATTCACTGTAGAGTAATTCGAATAAGTCCCAAAGTTAATAGCAAAGCTGATAATGTTATTTCTAGATAGGTATAAAATGTTGTATATGCTGTCAGACTAGGTTGACGTATTGATTAATTTTACCGAAATTTTTTTTTAATTTTTTTTTTTACTTCTCTGTTACAAGGGATAGCCTCAGATGAGAAGAACTGGAACTTCCTCTGACCAAATGCCTTTCATTTCCTGCTTCCCCTAAGGAGGCATCAAGGGGCTAATCTGGGCCAACTTCCATTTGTCCCAGCACAGGGCAACTTCCTCCTGTTGCCAGCCCAAGTCCCCAAATGAGGTGTGGAAAGCTTCAGGCACAAAGGTCCCTTTGATTTTAAGCCTTCCATTTCCTGCATAGTCCTTGGCCGTGTGTTTCATGCTCTCTCTTTGCTCTGCTATGCA